AACTCCAACACCATCCCCATCACCAGCACTACCGTTAGGCACCACTGCTAACACTGAACGGCTGTTCCTATTGCCAGCGCAGACCTCACTGAGAAGAATAAGCAGCAGCATCACCATCACCACCAAAACCACCGCCATCGCAACCGCTAACACTGACTGACCGTTAACTGTTGTCAGGCGCTACACCGTGTTTTCCATGTATGACATCTCATTTGATGGTTACAACAACTCTGAGAGAGATAAGAGTAATTGTTTTTAGATGAGGAAACCGATTCAGAAAGCATACATGACTTGCCCAGAGTCACACAGATGGTGGTCATGGACCTGGAATGTGAGCCCAGGCAGTCTGGCTTTGGAGTCTATTCCCTTAACGCACCCTGTTCCAGAGACATGACTTGCTAATAGGAAGGGTCCTGTCTTCCTGGCTTAGTTGCTTAAAACAAGAGGGGAACTTGCTATGACTCACCAGCCCACCCATTTTTGATCTAAGTGGAATGAATGACAGTCCAAAAAAACTAAAAATAGCTGTCTGGGGTCTTTAGAGACTCCAGTGAACTAAGGAATTTAGGAGGAACAGGTGGTGGCGGCATACTTCCTGCCAGCTGAAGGTTGTAATTTTGGAATAAAGGGGAACGTATGAGGAATGGAGCGGACGGCTGGCTCTGCAGAATCCAGCCTGGGACAGGTGTGGTTTTCCTGACCCTACTTATTACACCAGACCCATGGGCTCCAGGATGGGGAGCCTGAGGCTCCACCAGTGGCCAAGAGTGAAAGTTGGAAGAAGGAGGAGAAAAAGGTCCTGGTCAATGTGAAGCCAGTACAGCCAGGGGACCAGCAGTGTAACAGGGAAAGAAAAACCACCTGGAGAAGTTGTCTCAGAATTTTCAGGACTCCGCAGGCCTTCCCTACATCAGGAGTATTGCTTCTGACCTCAGATCAGAAATGAGATAATGCACAGAGTGTGGGTTAAAAACCTGAGAACTTGAAATAATAATGGTAACAAGCACTTGCTGGGTACACACGTGCCAAGCACTGTGCTGAGTGCTTCCAGACCTTACTTCAGTCCATCTTCACACCTGTGTTGGGAGGGAAATACTCAGATAAGGAAGCTGAGCCTTCACGGTCGTACAACCAGGAGGCTGGGGAGCTGGGATTCTCGCCTCAGCCAGCCTTTCTCCGCTCACCCTCACCTCTCAGCCCACCCTCTCGCACTACACTGTACCATCTCCTAAACTTCAACTAAGGTGCCAGCTCATCTTAGATGTATCAGTGCAGCTTGGAAGAGATGGGATTCATCCCTCGAATGTGGTCACAGAGGGTGCAGCTCTTCACAGAAGGTTTAATGGAGGGATCAACAGGGGTGCTGGTGGCCAGCCCTGTGTCTATCCCCGTGAAATCCGCAAGTGAGTCTGCTCAGTGACTGACCGTGTCAGACAAGGAGGAGTGAAGTGTAAGGAGTCGAGGGGAAGAAGGAAACCTTAGCTGTCTTTAATACGTGAAGAAACTGTCATGTGGGGAAAGAGGTAGATTACTCTTGGCTGCACAAAAGGGAGAGCGTCACAAGGAGTCAGGTCTTAGCTCCATATGAAAAAGACAGTCTCACCTGTCTGAAGGCAAAGCGGACTTCCTCAAGATGCGGCGAGCTGCCCACCCTCTGCCCCTGCAGAGGAGGGTGCCCACCTGCTGAGAATGCTATGGATTCCTGCACTGGGTGGGACTTTGACCCAATGCTCCATGATCTCTGAGCTCCTATGGAATCGCTTACCCCTATCGAGGAGGCCCAGAGTGACACAAGTTCAGCATTTGTGGCCTCGAAAGCTGGACCAGATGCCTGAGCCCTCAGGGTTTTCTATACTGAACATGCATGAGTCACTTCAGACGCTTGTCTGTCTATAAAAGAGGAGGGGGGAACCTGACCTCTCTAAACTCTGACATTCTAAAGACTGTGATTATTGGGGTGGAGTGAGGGTAGACATACTCCTGGAGAAAAGAAAGGAAAAAAATTAATTCTAAAACTGTTCCCCCTGCTCCCGTTTGAAAGTTTGGAGCTTGAAGCGTTTTGCAGTGGGCGACCTTCCTGCCACCAGCTTGCACTAAAGGATGTTAGAAAAGCACCATGCGGCCAAGAGGCGGGTAGTGCAGAGACTGCCTGCACACACGCTTCATCAGGGCCCAGAGCCTCCCCACCGCCTGCTGGGCACGCCGCCTTCCTAGACGCAGGAACCCATCATCTCCTCTCCCAAGACTGGCTCCCAGCTGGATGTGAGAGCTTCAGCCAGCTCTCCCAGGTTCTCCCCACTGCTTCCAAGCGTGCATTTGCCTTTGGTGCCAAGAAGGAGGCTCGTCCTCTGGTAAACTTTGCCCCATGACCCTTTCCTCCTCCAAAGTGAGACATCCTGTCGGCTAGGCCTGAATTCCCAGCATCTCCCAAGTACCTTGGATGCTGCCTGCATTTCCTGCCCCTCCCCAGACATTGAGCAACAGGCAGACTTTGCCCCCCCCACCATTCTGTTTACCCTAGTGCATGGCCCTGGGTGACAGGGACGGAGAGCGAGGGCACCTTTCTGCTCTGGATCAGTCTCATCAGACTC